CCACAGTCACATGTCACGAGCCGCCCCATACTACTTTCAGTTATTGCAGCGAACTCCACCCCAAACTGAATCACCATTGTTGGTTATTTGGCACAGAAGGGGAAGCACAGCCAAGACAACCAAAAGTACAGAGAGACATAGGCTTACCGTTCCATCGTCTCACCCTGAACGGCAGTCAATGCATTCTTCGCCTTGGAGACCTTTCTCATTTCATTGAGCAGCACCTTTTTCCGATCCTCCTGCACCGGCTCGCAAGAAGTCGGAAAGATGCGCTCCTTCTTGAACCGACTGACACGGTGGCGTTGAAGGGCGCCCACTTTAGACTGGTCCCCAAAGGCCCCACCATCGCGTTGTCGAAGTGAATCATAGGCTTGGTGCAGAGTCTCCTCGTATGCCTCCAGTTCGATCTTCTTTAACTCCGCCATGATGACGGCCTCCTGGGTGACCAACTTGCTGCGTTGTGAGATGACTGCTAGCAACTCTGCGAAGAGCCGCTCCCTCTTCGAACTCTCGGCCATCTCTTGCTCCAATACAGGTGGATGTGAGGCCACTACACTACTGTTTTGTCTGTGGACGGAGCGTTTAGATCGCGTCCACCTCCACCGCGAATTCAGACTCCTTTTAGACGACCGGTTGGTAGTTCCTGAGAGGTCTGGTTCACTGGTCGAGGGAATCTGAGTCATGCAATGCTCTTCCGACTGTTCCGTGTCCTCCTCCAACTGCCTTAGAGCACGCTCCTTTGCCCGACCTTGCATTTCCAACTCCTGCATCTCCGTCTCCAGTTGAGAGAGACGAGTTTTCAGCACTGCTATCGCTTTGACGTGGTGATCAGACATGGGAAGAGGGGCTTCCTCAGACGAAGATGACTCAGAAGTGTCCTCCTCATCCTCCAACGCATCCTGAGGATCTACTACTAGTTGGTCGTCATCGGAGTCGAGTTGAGATGTGAGGATGTACAGTGGCACGCTCTTGTGACGTGCTGTTTGCTCGATACTCTCCTTGAGTTGAGCACTCAGATCGGTTGGAGGGAGTACTAGATGTCGCTGCATGAATTCTGCGCCT